CCAGCTTTTTTTCTGCTTATATGGTGCTGAGGAATCGAACCCAGGGCCTCATGCATGCAAGGCAAGTTCTCTACCACTGAGCCACCTTCCCAGCCCAGAATAGGCCCTATTAAAGGAAGAGAATCAGATAATGGGGAAGTCCTTAACAGCTTTGGGCAGTCCACAGGTCTGAGGTCCAGCTAGGAGTCTCATTTCCTAAACCTCCAGAAAAGCTGGAATTGAGCTAAAGAATATTCATCACCACCCAACCCATCTTGGAACTCACAGTGGAAAATCATGGGGTCATATGGCGGGACAGCCTGGCCTTCTTGAGATCAATGCATAGTTACATGCTTTTTTGCATTCTTAGTACAGTTTTTAATTTTGAAAAATGAATGGGTAGCATTAGAATAGCTACTTGTTCTTAAAATGCTTTGGGGAATCAAGACTTTGGAAGAGCTAATGCCCTTCAGGGAGCGTAGAAATCAAGGAAATAAGGGAAAATTGCTTCCAAAGAGAAGAGGAAAGGGGATGTTTGGTCTTAAGCCCTAATATACTAAACTGTTGAGGATTTTAATGCTTTGTTTTTGTGATAGAGTTGGCTTGAAGATCCTTGAATGCATTCTTGGGATATATATTATGTTTGTGCTTGATACTGAACCTAGGGAAGGTAAAAATTAGTAAGACATGACTTCTGCATTTAAGCAATGGTAGACAAATCAAGTTAGACTCTCCTCTCTCTCTCTCTTTCTCTGTCGCTCTTGCTCTCCTCTCTCTCTGTGTCACTCTCTCTCTCTTTCTCTCTCTCTCTCTGTCGCTCTTGCTCTCTTTCTCTCTCTCTCTCTCTCACACACACAGAGTACCAAATTCTCCAAGGCATCCTTTAGCAATGTCACTTACTTCTGAGAATTTCCTGGTTGTTCAGTACTTACCTACATCTATTGGAACTTGGAATAGAATGTTAGGGCAGTGTGGAGTCCTGTAATACCAGTTCCTCTCATTCCCTTCCCACGGGAATGAAGAAACAGAGCTTTAGTGTCTAAAGCAGCTTCCTGAATGGCCTTCCAGATTGTTGTGTCTCCCACTTCCATGGGTCAGCAACACCTAAGATGGTTTGATCCTCAGTAGGCAATGTTGCATTTTAATCTCACAAGTAATAGAGCCTCCAATAGCTTCCCAGCCCTAAGCTGATCAAGAAGGTTTGCTGAGTTCCTTCACACTCTCTGCCTTCCCTGCCACTCTCCTTCTGCAGTGTTCCTCCCTATGGTGACAATGAAATTTCAGCATTCTCTAATATATCCTTATCCTTTTCTATGTCCTGTGCTTTTGATTTTTTTTTGGGGGGGGGTCTGGTTGTGGGGCCTGAACTCTGGGCCTGGGTGCTGTCCCTCAGCTCTTCAGCTCAAGGCTACTGCTCTACCACTTGAGCCACGGCGCCTCTTCCGGCTTTTTTTTCTTTTTGCTTATGTGATGCTGAGGAATCGAACCCAGGGCCTCTGGCATGCAAGGCAAGCACTCTACCACTGAGCCACCTTCCCAGCCCATGTGCTTTTGATTTTGTGATCAATTTACCTAAAACATTTTTCATGTACTATATTTGCTTGAAAAATCCATCTCTCAAAACCTATTCCTTTTTTCTTTGATTTCTAGTATGTTCTTTCCCTGTTGATTCTCAACCTCACCATTTTCTTGTTTGGTCCTTAAGGAGATTTGCCTCAGGGGAGCTGATGTCCTCTACCTGTTAGTCACAGGCCTAGCAGAGCCTTGACCGTGTTGTTTGCATTACAAACATTCCTTGAGCGGAGGTATTCCAGAGACCCACAGCTCCTTGTAGGCATAACCAAATTTAGAACTCATTTATCTTTTGGTCTTACCCAGTGTTCTTACCTCTACTCCTCTCACTCCTAACCTAGTTCATGACTTTGTAGGACTCATTTGAAGTCCTGACCTCTGTTCCATTGTCCACAGTATACCTTCTGTTGATTTAAGAAATCTGTAGGTTTCATCTTCCCTTGGAAACATGTGTTTCTGGTTGTGAACTAAGTCACAGACACATAGTAGAGGCCTATTGACTATTTGTAAATGATGCTTGGTTGGACTCAGAAAGAAACATAGGCTCTGTTCTGAAGGCACAGAAAATGATGTTTAGATGTTTGCTTTAGCTGCTTTTTATTTGGTCTTCTGTACTCTTTCTCTTCTTCTGCCTTCCCGTTTCTCTTTTCTGCAACACTCTCAAGTCTGCTAAACTGGAGTTGGCTCAGGATTCCACTCAGCCTGAAGAGACACATCTGCACACCAGACCCTTGGTCTAGGACATAAAGTTAGATGGAACATTTGAGAAATCTCTGAATGGAGGCTCACTCTAGAGGCATCCATTCTGGGTAATACCTAAGAACACTGGCTTTGCATCAGGAGCTGTGAGACTTCATGGACAAACTTCATGTACAGAGTGAGCAGGAAAAATGAACTAGAGATTTTACTGCTTCATTCTGACAAAGAGAGAGGGAAAGATCCCAGAGCTTGGCTAAACACACAAGGCTCCAGGGTTCCTGATGCTGGAGTGGTCTGCCCTTGCGTCTCACACCCTGGCTCCAGGTTGTCCCTCACCCATCACTCTCCCCAGTTCTTCTCTCACTCTGCTTCTCAAGCACCCACCCTCGTTCACACTGCCCTCTCTGAGCTTGAGGAGCTGCCAGGTTTCTTGGCATCACATAGTAGAAGAAAGGGAAGAGCAGGGTCATCCATTCTCCACTTGCTCAGGTTGCATTTTGCTCCATACAGTACATGAAGTCAGGAGCTGGCCTTCAATATCTCCTATCACTTTTTTCTCTTCTAAAAAGACTATAGTGAAATGCTTTGTACCATTCTGAAATCCAGTTCACTCCATCTTCCTAGTCTAGAGAGAAATGCAAATGAATATGAAGAAGATGTTGTTGGCATTTCCAGTAAGAAGCTGGCAGAGACAATTCAGGAGATAGTAAGACATTTTGAATTTTATTATATTATCTAACCTGAATAGGAATATTTATTTACCTTTATCCTCTTCAGCCCATCCGACTCTCTTATGGGTATGGAAAACAAGGCTTTCAGCCAATCTGTGCTGTCCTCTGTCCTCCCATCCTGAGTGATTTCCATTACTGTGTACCTCCTAATTGCAGGCAGATTTCCTTATTCTCCAGAACCACAAGGAGCATCAGCATTTGGCTTCAGAGATGCTACTAATCCTGAATAAATAAAAGCAAATGAATAAGATAGCACTTCTAGTCTCTTATTCCTAGACCTAGATGGAACATTTGTAGTAAACCCTTGGCTCCAGGTTTCTCCAGCATTTTTTTTTAACCTTTTCTTTGCAACAATAGAAGGAAATACGGTGCTGCAGACATTACCAACCTCACCAAGCCCCATGCTGACTCTCTAAATTGAGTTTTTGTTTGTGTGTAGGGAACAGAGGAAGACTTTCCTAAATTTTGGTCTGCAGGGTTTGTTTGAGATACGGAAAAAGTTGAAGAGGTCTCAACACGGAGGACTGTGAGGACTCCCTTTCCCTTCCCAGACTAACTGTTGACATAGACAACTGTTGACAAATGTTAGAAATCCTCTAAGACAAAAATTTGGGAAATATATTAGGTTTGGAATTGGAGTAACTAGTTTCCAAGCCTGGTTCTGCTTCTGTCACTTTTAACTCTACCTTTGTGTGTGGATGTCAGTACTGGAGCTTGAATTCAGGATCTGGATGCTGTTTTAGCTTTTTTGCTCAGGCAAAGAAAGATTCTATCAGCTTTTTGGTCATGAACCGTTGTCCTCAAATCTTAGCCTTTTTGGGCTTACAGGTGTGAGCTGTCAGTACCTAGCTATGCCTCATAAATGTATCATTTCATTTATTTAATTAGAAACCAAGAGGAGCATTGAGCTATTTATTCTGCATTGGTATTTTGCAAGTACTGAATATTCAGTGTAGAATAATACAATAATCCAGGTTTCATAGGTCTCACATTTAGTGAGCAAAGCAGTAAGTGACACACAATTATATAATAATAATAGCAACACTAATGAAAATATGAAGAAAATAAAAAAATGAATAGGGCAGCAGACAATATCAGAGAATATGTGTGTATGTAGAGTTGTGTTCTAGGACTCTGAAATGGGTCTCCCAATAATTCTTTTACTTTCTTATGGAAAAATGAAGTTGAATTCCCTTGAACTGTGGACTGGGCTCTATGACGTCTAAACAAATAGAATAAAGTAGAAGGGACGTTGTGACTTTGGAGAACAGGTAATGAAGTCACAGTGTCTTCCTCCTCATGTTCACAGGTCGTTTGCTCTGAGGGAAGTTAGCTGTCATGTTGTGAAAATACTCCAGCAGTTTATAAAGAAGATCATGTGGCACATAGCAGTGACTTCTTGCCAGTACCATGAAAGAAGCCATCCAGGAAACAGACTCCCAGCCCTGGTCCAACCTTCACATGACTGCAGCCCCTGCCAACATCCTGACCACAGTATAAGGGGACCCTGAACTAGACCACCAGGTAAGCTGAATCTGGAGTCTTGAGCTGAACCTGAAAGTCAACCATTCTTTTTTTTTTTGCCATCAATAAGAAATTTACTTATTTTTAAAAAAAAATCCAAATGCTGGCATTGTCCAGAAAATTTAACAGATTTATAGTTGTTATAAAGTTGAACTGCTGAAACATTTTGACTTGCATTAATGCTTTATATCCCCA